CCGCCGCACCGGGCAACCGGAGCCACACCCCCCCCCCGGTCCCCACTCGCTTGGTATGGCCCGGGAGGACCCGCCCCCCCACGCGGCGGAAGGGGGCGGGGCGGGGCCGCGGCGGGGGGCGCCAGGGGGCGCTGCGGGGCACGGGGCGGGCGCGAGGGGACCCCAAAACCCGGGACTGGGGTGACCCCGAACCCCCAAAACAGGGGTGACCCCGGGACTGGGGTGACCCCAGAACAGCGGTGACTCCAGGACTGTGGTAACCCCAGCATCATGTCATGTCCCCAGGGTGGTGGTGACCTCAGAATCGTGGTCACTCCAAAACGGTGGTGACCCCAGAACAGTGGTAACACCAGAACTGTGGTGACCCCCCGGTGGTGATGACTGTGGGATCATGGTGCCCCCAAAACAGTGGTGACCCCGGAACGGTGGTGACCCCAGAGTGGTGGTGTTCCCAGGATCGACATCACTCCAAAATGATGACTCCAGAATGGTGGTGACCCCAAGATGCTCTACCAGGATCATGTTGTCCCCAAAATAGTGGTGATCTTAGGATAGTGGTGACTCCAGAGTGGTAGCAACCCCAGAATGCTGGTGTCCCCAAGGCAGTGGTGACCTCAGAACAGCGGTGTCCCCAAAGCAGCAGTGTCCCCAGAGCAGTGGTGTCCCCACAATAGCAATGTCACCAGGACGGTGGTGGCCTCAGCACAATGGTGTCCCCACAATAGTGGTGTCCCCAGGACAGTGGTGACCCCGGGGTGGTGCCGTGCCAGACAGGACATCCTGTTTGGGGCTGGGGCAATCAGTGCTGCTGACTCAGCCACGACCCCGTGGGTTTCCTGCTCAGAGGGGACAAGTGGGACCATGGGACCAGCAGGGCTGGGGGACCTTCCTTCCCGGGGCACTGCTGAGGCTCTAGAAAGTCCCCCCAGATGGGCAGCGGGACAGACAGGGCTCAAGGACCAGCCATGTGGTCCTGTGTCCTGCCTGTCCCCTGCCTGCTCTGGCCAGGGCTGGCCTCAGCAGGCTGAGAGCCATCAGGGTGCCCTGTGGAGGAAGCACTGGAGAGCGAGGGTGTGCCGGGGCTGACAGGGGAAGGAAGCGGGGCTGAATCTACGGAAACGTTCCCCAGCCGCCCGCCAGCTCCTCAGGGATCAGGTGGGAGCGCCAAGCCCGGCATTGTTCAGTGTCAGCCCCTGCTGCCGCCAGTGCCGAGCCCTGTCCGCGGGCACCCGCAGATGGTTTTAGTTAGTGACACCACTCGGGTGCCAGCTTTTGTAGTGAAGCTCCCACCGAGAGGGTGACAGTACTGCCAGGGATGGGCACCATGTCCAGGCTGGCCACTCCAAATCCAGGCTGTATGCCATGGCTCGGCCCAGCCTGCGGGCAACACCAGGCACTGGTTGGGATAGGGCAGGGAAGGTCAGCCACTGGCCGGGCGTTGGCTGCCAAAACCCTTGGGAGAGATTGTGGGGAGCCAAGCAGTCCCAGCACTGCAGGCGCTGCCCTTCCCCTCTGGGCAGTAAACAGGCTCCCTTCGCCAGCAGCAGAAACGCCTAAAATTTTCCATCCTCCTCATGCGAAGGTACCCAGCCCCTCCGGCAGCGGGGTGGCCGGAGGGGTCACAGCTTTCCACTGCTGGAAGTCCTCAGTGTGACGCAGCTTCTCACTGTTGTTCCCTCACTGGGGCTCCGCATTGCCTGACTCGGTTTCCCTCCTCGCTTCCAGAAGACTCTAGATTTTGGGAGGGGGCAGCTGGACAGATCCACCCTGCTGAGCATGAGATCATTTTAAGTCATTCCCAGATGGGCGCGAGAGAGGAGAAGGGTGCAGGCGGCAGCGGTGGGCAGTGCCCGGGGTGAGCCGAGCAGGCGAGCTGCTCCTTGCAGGCAGCCAGGAGGATGGGAATCCCTCACGGTGCAGATAAAGATAACGGGGCATGAGTCACATCCGCTTACGCCAGACAGGTCCGGGCAAGGTGCATAAGGAGTTCAGCTTGGGGATGGAGCAGCCATGAAACCAGGAGGGGAGGTCAGCACCTGCCTCCACCCCTGGGCTGGGGGCTCCAGGCATGGCCCTGTCCCAGGGGCAGCAGGAGGGCACTGGGCTGGCCCGGCAGACACAGAGATGCTCACGGAGCCAGAGATCCACAGCCACTGCCTTGTGGAACCTCACTGAGCCATAACACCCTGCACAGCCACCATGATCCATCACACCCTTCAAAGTCACCATGATCCATCCATCTCTCCTGGGCTGCTATGGATCAACAGGCTAAAGTCCCACAGCCTCGCCCACCACCAGCCGGAGCACTGGCAGGACAAGCTGACTGCTCACTCATTGCAGCTCTCGTCAGCGGCTCATTTCCGAGCCGGCTTGTGCAGAGGAAATGATGAGAGGTGACGGTGGCCACAGGAAAACATTTGTAGGGCTGTCAGGGACAGGACATGGGGTACAAAGTGAGATCACACTCGTCCCATGGACAGCCGGCAGCACTCGGGGGACAGGAGGCTTCCCGGTGCAGGGCCTGGAAGTCGTCAGGCCCCCGTGATTAATGAGACACTGATTTGGCAGGACAGGCGAGGAAGGAGCGGACAGGCGGATCCTCCACCCCCCACCCCCCTCCGCGAGGCTCAGGCGGAGCCATGGGAAGAGTAGCCTGAGGCTGAGCTGCCTTCAAACCTCCAAACCTCCCTCCCCACACTGGAAGAGACAGGGTCCTGAGCTCCAACCCTTGGGGCTGAACAATGAAATTACATAGATTACACTTTAGTTATATATTTAAAGGATGTTATGGCAGCTACAAGTAAAGTCACAGCCTGACAAAGCCACCCGCTCCTGCCAATGCCATGTGCCAAGTGGGGCACCTGGAAATGGCTGTTACCCACAGGTCCTTCACCACCAACTCAGCCATATGTGCACAAACACCCCCTCCCGAAAAACAGGGGGCTCAAAGTGCTGGTGGCAAAACCCACCTCCCCTCTGGCACAGCCACCTTCCCCAGTAAGACAGCTCTTGGACTTGAGGGCTCTACAAATAATTTTATTGAAATTTAACAAAAGTGGACAGATGCACTGGGAGGAAGGACCATAAATAGTGTACATTTCCCAAACCCATGGGTCCTACCCACACGCTAGAGGAGCAAGGAACCTAGTGTCAGTGAGAATGGCTACACATCCACACGGGAAAGCACAACATCACACAGAAATCATTAAAAAAAAAAACAACAATCAAAAGGAAAACTTTCCTTTGTTTTTTTTTTGCTTGCTCCAACACCACAGTGGACACAAATACTATTTACAGTGACCTTCACATTTTTAAGACCCCTCCAGGTGCTCCCAAGGCCCTGCTGCTGCAGGAGGGCTGGAGGGGCCCTGGGGGCTGGCTGCTGTGGGGACCAGCCTGGGAAGAAGCAGGGCAGGATGCAGCTTGTTGGCAGTCTGCAGAAGTTTGCTGCCACTCCCATGACACTAGAGGGGTAGCGGGGTGGGAGAAGGCGTGGGTTTTTTTTGGGAAGCATGTTTAATGCCGTGGGGGAAGGGTGGGCAGCCTGTCAGGAAGGACAAAAGCATCCTTGCTAAGCCGGTCTCAGTCTCTGCCCCCTCCCCTGGTGTTCGGGCCCTGCTTTGCCAGCAGATTTTTGGCTGGCAGCCCTGTGAGGGGCTCCCCACTGGGACAGGCAAACAGCACTGGCCCCCTCCCCAATTCTCCTTTGCCTTCCCCAGTACCCGCAGCGGCTTCAGTGCAGCTTCCCGTGCCCTCGAAGAGCAGCGGGGCAAGGCAGCACAGACAGTGCAACCATGGTTTTCTCTCCTCTTCCTGGGCACAGCAGCTCCTGCTCTGCAGCAGAGCCTGAGGGGATGCCCTGCCCAGGGAGCTCCGGCCTGGGAGAAACTCAGGAGCAGGTGGTGCGAATAAGAAACACTTCAGTGGGAGATTGTTTTAAGACAAGACTCTTTCAAGCAAGCAGAACAAAAGATGTCGAGAGAAGTGCCCAGCATCACAGTGTAGACGAGCCCTGCCCTCCCACTTTCCTGCCTGGTGGCAGCCAGCACATCCACTTCACCCTGCGTGCTCGCTCCTGTCGATGGGAACAGCGGGTGGAGGGACGTGAAGGGAAGAGGTGGTGACAGGAAGACGGCAACAGCCACGCCGCTGTTATCTCTCCGAAGCCGGGAATGTGGCCCCGCGCCCGGGCGGCTCTCAACGGACGCGGCGATGGATACATCCAACGTAGACACCGACGAGGCTGGCAGCCAAGTGCCAGCAGCTTAAATTAAAAATCGAGGTAGCAAACATCTGAAGTGCTTAGAAAGTAAATAAGTTCTGGAACGAAAGAGGAGGAAAGCTGAGCCGGCTGCTGTGGGGAGCAGGCTCTGACCCACTTTAAAGCTGTGCCTGCTGCCGCTCCTCCTCCGCCTGCCCAGTCCAGGCACAGCCAAGCAGGAAGGGAGGGGCTTCTTGTGCTGGCCAGGGGCATTTGGGGTCAGGCTCTTCCCCCAGCACTGGCCACACACAGGGGTGAGAGCTTTTTCGGTGCCACCAAGACCTCGTGCAGGAGGGAAGAGGAGAGAAGAGCAGGACCTTCCAAGGCAGGGCAGAAATTCCCCCTTTAAAGTGCATCGCGCCTCCCCTCTGCCGCCAGCTGGGATGTGGGAGGAACCACAGTTCACATCGCCAGGGAGATTTCCCAGGGAGATTTCCAAGCTGGGGCAGGTACACCAATTGATTGTTTTGGGGGACAGGGAAGGAAGAGAGAGGATTCCTTTCCTGCTTGGCTCAGTCAAGGCCCACCCGCCAGGGAGGTACGTTCAAACAGCAGCGGGGGGCGAGGACACTGCCTGGCAGCCTGGCAGAATGAGGTGACCCGCCTCGTGGATGAGGGGAAGGCTGTGGATCTGGTCTACCTGGACTTCAGCAAAGCCTTTGACACTGTCTCCCATAGCATTCTCCTGAAAAGCCTGGCAGCCCACGGCTTGGACAGGGACACTCCGTGCTGGGTCAGGAACTGGCTGGAGGGCTGGGCCCAGAGAGCGGTGGGGAATGGAGCTGCATCCAGTTGGCAGCCAGTCACTAGTGGTGTCCCCCAGGGATCAGTGTTGGGCCCAGTTCTATTTAATATCTTTATTGATGATTTAGATGAGGGGATTGAGTCCATCATCAGCAAATTTGCAGATGACACTAAGTTGGGGGGAATGTCGATCAGCTGGAAGGCAGGAGGGCTCTACAGAGGGACCTGGATAGGCTGGAGAGCTGGGCTGATTCCAGTGGGATGAGGTTCAACAAGGCCAAGAGCCGAGTCCTGCACTTTGGCCACAACAACCCCCTGCAGCTCCAGGCTGGGGACAGAGTGGCTGGAGAGCAGCCAGGCAGAAAGGGACCTGGGAGTTTGGATTGACAGGAAGTTGAACATGAGCCAGCAGTGTGCCCAGGTGGCCAAGAAGGCCAATGGCATCCTGGCCTGTGTCAGGAATAGTGTGGCCAACAGATCCAGGGAAGTGATTCTTGCCCTGTACTCAGCGTTGGTGAGGCCACACCTCGAGTGCTGTGTCCGGTTCTGGGCCCCTCAGCTCAGGAAGGACATTGAGGGGCTGGAGCAGGTCCAGAGAAGAGCAACAAGGCTGGGGAAGGGACTCGAGCACAAGTCCTGTGAGGAGAGGCTGAGGGAGCTGGGGCTGTTCAGCCTGGAGAAGAGGAGGCTCAGGGGAGACTTCATCACTCTCTACAACTCCCTGACAGGAAGGGGGAGCCAGGTGGGGGTTGGTCTCTTCTCCCTGGCAACTATCAGCAAGACAAGAGGGCATGGTCTTAAGGGGAGGTTTAGGTTAGATATTAGGAAGAAATTCTTTACAGAGAGAGTGATCAGGCATTGGAATGGGCTGCCCAGGGAAGTAGTGGATTCTCTGTCCCTGCAGGTTTTTTAAGATGAGATTGGATGTGGCATCAGTGCCATGGTCTAGCAACCACAGCGGTAGTGGATCAAGGGTTGGACTTGATGATCTTGGAGGTCCCTTCCAACTCAGCTGATTCTATGAGTCTATGAAGGACGGTGCTCAGCAGGAGCCAGTGTGCCAACGGGGGAGGCAAGCCTGCTGCAGAGCTGGGACCCTGCTGCCACCAGCCATGGCCACAGACTGCAGAGATCTCCTGTGGGGGAATGCAAAAGTTATGAAGCCTGGAAAGAGCGACTTTAGAAGCGGTTCTATCACAGCAGCAGCTCTCTGGGATCGAGCGGAGCAGAAGCACAACAACTATTTCCGTTTTATTGTACGGTTTTTCCCTGAGTTATGTATTTCCCCCGGTCTACGCGGCCCCCCCACTCGGCCCCATGTCGTCTACCCCCCCCCGAATCGGTCTCCGCCTCTGCACAACCATATTTGGTTGTCTCACCCGCCTCTGCCCAATCCCTGGCTTTGTTATTGCACTTGGGCCCTCCTGTATCCCCCGTTGTTTAGCAGAGCCCTCAAGCCACGCCTTTTCCCCCGGACCTCGGCTCAATCAAGTTCTCCTTCTAAGCCCTCCCCCAGAGACCTTATAAGCCCGCGGAGTTTTAAATAAAGTACTTTTCACCCTGGGATCCAGAGAGGAGACTTGGCGGCTCTTTTCTCCTACCGAAGGGGAACCGTGCCACCGAGACCCTCTCCGAGAAACCGCGAGCGAGGAGTAGATCTTCTTTAATTCTCTTAATTGGCGCCTCCCCCGCCCCGCCGCGGTCACGGTGTCCTGCTCCCGCTCCCCACCCGCCGCCAGCCCCGAGCGCCGCGCCCGCCGCTCCTGATCCCGATCCCGATCCCGATCCCACGAGCGCAAAGGCCCGAGGTGCCCACGCCACCGGTCGCGGTCGCGCAGCCCCGGAGCGCTGCACTTCACGGGCACCACCACCACGGCAAGGGCTGGCCCGAGTACTACGAGGAGGAGACACACTGAGAGAGAGAGAGAGAATTGGAGAGCTGGGAGCACCTGAAGTATGGGGGCTGCCACCAGAGGTTCCTGACCCCGACTCTGACGAGCATACACCGGTAGAAGATGAAGAGGTAAAATCTAAGAGTAGTTCTTCGGATTCCAGCTCAGAAGAGGAAAAGAAGAAAAAGAAGAAGAAAAGACAGAAGAAAAAACGTAAGGCATCCAAAAGAAAGCGCAGAAAACATTCTGAGGACAGCGACTGTGAGTCGGAGTGTGAGCAGAACTCCAGTGATGAAGATAAAAAGAAAAGCAAGAAGAGGAAAAAGAAGAAGAAGAAGAAAAATAAGAAGAGCAGGAAGGAATCCAGCGATTCAAATAGTGAAGATTCCGATGATGAAACAGTTCAAGAGGATGATCTCTGGACTGAGAGGTCAAAAAATACTGAAGCTGATAGCTTGATTGGACCAGAGGCTCCCAAAACTCATGTGTCTCAGGATGACAGGGGAAAACGTATTCCCCAGAGAGGCGAGATTGGCTTGACCAGTGAAGAGATCACATCGTTTGAGAGCTCTGGTTATGTCATGAGAGGCATCAGACATTGGCGCATAGAAGCCGTGCGTCTGCGCAGAGAACCAGATCTACAGCGCAGACGAGAAAGAGCCCTGGCCTCCTTCAACTCAAATAAAGTACTTTTCGCTCTGGGATCCAGAGAGGAGACTTGGTGGCTCTTTTCTCCTACCAAAGGGGAACCATGCCACCGAGACCCTCTCTGAGAAACCAGGAGCGAGGAGTCAAACTTCTTCAATTCTGTTAATCTCCAGCAGGCAGCAGCAAAGCCAGCCTTCCCAGAGCCAGTGTAAGCAGGGGAAACGCACAGGGGGAAGAGACTGAGTCCAAGAGAGTGGCATCTGATCTCCCGTCCCCTTCCCAAGAGGGGTGCAGCAGCCAGCCAGATGTGCTTCAAGACCCCTCAGCCTGCCCTGTTCATCCTCCATCAACGGACCCATCCAGGGGAGCATCACCTCACACCCGTGTCAAGGGACACACTGCAACACTGGCCATCTAACCTGCGGGCCCCGGAGCCCTCGGGCAGCGGGTCACCGTGCCCTGGCCCTCCCTGGGCTGCATACCTGAGAAGCAGGGGGTTCTCTCTGGTGAGAAGTGCGGGCTCACTCTCCCTTTAACAGCTCACACACAGCAGCTCGTCTGCAGTTCCAGTTACCCATCCAACATGGGCTAGAGGCTACAATAGGTATTTTAGTCTTCTGACTCAAGCGAGGATGTTTTTAAGCAGTCGTTGCACGAGGTCACCCATCTCCTGCGAGGGCCTGCTCTGCTCCGCCTCACCTCCGGGCGAGGGGAGAGCCACTGTCCCGCCGTGCGCCCGGAGTCCTCCTCGGGTGGGAACATGGGGCAGCCTGGCCCGGCAAGGCTGGGGGCGGTGGGGCAGGGCCTCCCGCCCGCAGGCAGAGATGTCTGGGACTCACACCTCGCAGATGATCACCGGGAAATCCACGTGAATGCGAGGGTGCTCTAGTTTCACTATGCCCTGAAAGAAGAGTCAGAGTGGTGATCAGAAAGGGACTGACATACAACACGCCTGAGCCCTGCCAGTCACCCCAGGACAGAGGGCACTGTACCCTAGAGTAACCACAGGGGCCAGGGTCCAAAAAGCGGCTGTGACAAGTGGTAGGGCCTGAGAGCAGCAGGCAGAGCACAGGCACTCTGCCCTTCGAACTCGTCCCTGGAGAGCCCAGGGCAGCATGGCTGGCTGCCACACATGGCAGGGCGAGCAAGGAGGGAGCTGCTCTGCCAGGCACTACCCGTGCAGCAGCTGGTGCGTGACTGGCAGATATCGGCCGTCCGTGCTTTTCATTCGGCACCTTCCATTCACGGGATTTAAAGGAATGAAAAGAGCTCTCTGAGGGAACGCAGCCGGGGCAGCTGGCACACAAGAAAAGCAGCTTTCTGTGCAGAGGGGAGGGGAGGCTACTGAATGAACGATCCCTCCACACCAGCCACAGGCACCGTTCCCACGGTCTGTCCAAGCCTTCTCCTGTTACAGCACCAGGAGGAGCCACTGGCAGGTGGGGGGCTGGGGGCAGAGGGGGGAGCGGAGGCTCGGGGCTGGGCCTGCACCCACAGAGCCAGAGCAAAGCCTGAGCTAGTAAAGGGCTCTTCAGTGCTGGTACCTGCTCTCTTTGGCTCAGACAAGCTTTCCAACTGCATGAGTTTCAACCCAGATCAATGAGAAGTCAGTCCCATGGCCCAAGACTGCCTCTCCAACAATGTCAGTCTGGGAAGCAGCACCAAATCCTCCCCTCCATAACTGCCAGTGCAGTGCTCAGAGGGGTCCCATCCTGTTGGGGGGCTGCCTGTGGGGGGAGGCAGCAGGCCCACCGAGCCCCTAGTTGACAGTCTTAAAATATTGGATGGTATTAGGCCGTTCCCATGAGAACAGTGAAGTTAATTAACCCTTCACATAAAAAAAGCAGCCTTGAGAATCACAGAGTTGACTAGAAAGGAGATAAACAGGATGGAATGTGCAAGGATGGAGATGCTGGCTGTGTTCACAACCGCAGGTGTTAGTTCTCTGGTGTTTTGTAGAAACTATGTTTACAGAAAGTGTGTGGGAAAGTCGGGGCTAGCTACCTTAATAAAGGTGGCTGCTGTGCTTACGAAGCAGAGAGCTCTCTAGACCACTCTGGTCTCAACTCTGTGTGTGTGTGTCTGCTTTCTCTACTGACCAAACCCAACAATACGACAGATACCCCACGACAGCTGCCCACCCCTAAGAGCACACTGACAGCTCGTCCCAAGGCTTGCTAGAGCTGTGCCTTTCTGCTTACTTACAAAAGACTCCTGCAGAGTGTCTCTCTCCAGCCTTGGTTTGATCTACCTTTTTCTCCATTTATGCCCCCAAAAGCTTCCCTACACACAGGCCCTGCACCAAGACCCTCTATTAGTGTCCTAGCCCCTGCCCAGCACCACACCAGTTGCTTATTTTAAGAAAAGATTTTTGCACTGAGGTGCAAAACATAGAGCTGTCATAACTACTGAGCAGCTGGAGGGGATGTGCCCACTCATATCAGTGGGTGATGGGCTTTGGCTGCTGCTCCCCAAGGCAGTGCCTGGCCCTCTGCAGTGACATGATATGGGCTGAGCCAGCACAGCACCCCACACCTCATGGAAGGTGCCTGGCAATGAGACACCATGGCCATGAAGGGCTGCCTGGCTCTGTGCCCCACAATACACATCAGGCTGAGCTATCCCCCCAGCCTGGCAGCTCTAAAAAAGCTCAGGCAACACTTCTCTCCGAAAAGGGCAGCTGGAGGGTGCCACCAGCCCTCCCTCTTCTGTCACAGCCTCACCAGGTGACAGGGGTGTGAGCCAGGACACACAGGAGTCATGGCTCTGAGGCAGCAAATGGGGGGAGGAGAAAGCCTCCACCTTCCCAAGATGCCCCGAGGGAGAAGCCTCCTGCAAAACCGGGACTTCAGCTGTCACCGTGGCGCTTCACCCTCGCTGCCCCCACCCTTCCCCACACCCCACCTGAGGTATCAGGTTCTTGTGGATCCTCTTCAGCTTGGCGCGCTTCCTCCCGTTCTTGGTGACGATTGTCTCCTCGTAGAACTCGTGAGCAAGATCCCCGTCCTCATCGTAGTACATGGAGCTGCCGGGAGGAGAAGGCAGGCGGGTGGGTGAGAGCCGGGCTGGGGCAGGTCGGGGGCTGGGCAGGCCGGGCCCCCCCGGCCCTGGGGGGGCTGCACCGACCACCCGCCGCCGTCCCGGCGGTGCCGGCGGCCCCTCCCGGCCCAAGCAGAGCCCCCCGCCCCGCGGAGCCTCCCCGTCCCCTCGCGCCCCCCTCTCCCCCCGCTCTCACCCGCGCCGCGTGAACACGAAGGGGGTGGCGGCGCGCGCGGCCCGCGCCCGGGCCAGGGCCT